TGTGCAGTTGTTATCAAATAGTTTAGTCTTTTTCTACTCTGTGTTAATGTTGAGTGTTGATGTTGGTATCTTTCCACTTGACTTCTCATCGTGCTTCCTATTTTTTGGACATTTCTCTTCCTTATCTCTCGGTTTTCCTGCCCTCTTCCCCTGGCCAGTACACAGGCGGTTATATAAAAGGAATACACACAGAATCACTCCGAGACGTCATCTCACAAATGTACACACTGCTTTTTATAATCAGTGTTATCTCCACATTGGGCGTGGGGTGTCTAAAGAGGGCAACACCCCGCTGTCAACGACCAAATCAAAGTGTGCTTCCTTGTGCTGTTATCAGAGGCACACTAACTCTGTTCTCACCTTCTTTTTTGGGGAAATAGTGAGTCATTAGAAACTAACTAGGCTCACTACCATACATAAATATGTATTGTTTACTGTAATCAGTGTGTTCTCTAAGTTGCTCCGAAATTTTCCGTAAATTCATTATGATAAGATACTTTAGCAAGACTTTGTTTGTGCTTTGGATCAAACTCTACATGAGTCACACTTGATGGTCACAAATATCAAAGAGGGCAAGTATGGTATTTTCCACTGCACATGCAGGAAAGAACCTGAATATTGTTTTTTAGTCTTATCAAAGCACCCACGCCCTTCTTTTTATGCCTCCAGCAATAACTGTGGCCAAAGGCAATATGTTTTTGAGTTGTCCATACCTCCAGTATGGCAGTCCATACATCTGTCCGTCCCATTCTTGTGGACAGAGTTTAGTACAAAAGTCTAATCCAGGCAATAAATGTATCTCCTATATGAAATTTGTCCAGCACAACAAGGAGACTAAGGAACAATTACACAGTATAAAAAGTGTAAAAAGTCATTAAGTTACTTGTTACATTAATTATTAGCTGGAATATTTTGTTTCAGACAGTTTGACAATGTGAGTCATGTCTTCCTGAAGCATGGCACAACAGGAAATCCCACTTGCCCTTCTAACCCCTCACATGCTCACTATATCCTACACAGCTAAATCTAACACAAGCACAGTCAAAATGATAGTTTGTTTGTTTTAATAGTGAAGATTTTGCAATATTTTTTATGAACTAGTCACCTGCTGAGAATAAGCCTAATGAATACTTAGAGCTCATTTGATTGTAATAATATAATACTCTCAGAGACGACATAGTTAGTTTGGTTTTATTTGGTTCTCATTAATTTCTGTCTCTGTAAAACATAGTGCATATGGTATAAATCAATCCAATCTCTGTAAAATTAAAAGGATATTATAAAATACATCATCAAACCGCACCGTACCGTACAACCACCTAAATGTAGAAATCTTTTACAAATTAAAAAAGAAGACATTTACAAAACGTGACAAAATTAAAGGCATTTTTTTTTAAAAGGGCAAGTATGGAGATGGATAAAGAAAGGAAAGGAACAAATTAAATGCCACAGGAACCAAACTGCTACTCTAATACCAAGCTGGAACAAACCCACAGTCACTACAGTTCACAGCTCGGCATTCACTTGGCTACTAGTCACCATGGTTTGACTTCAGTGTTGTACGAAAAAGGAATTGAAGAATTTCATTGGCTGCTGCTGTACTGTGCTGAAGTGGTTGTGGCTGCCTTTTCTTATGGCCCTGGTCCATGACTCTTCTTACCGGTAGGTGAGAAATGTGATCAGTAATACAATATGATCTTTTGTTTAGATAATTAGCAGTTCACAAACACTAATTTCAATCAAATGACCACAAAATTACACATTTCTGTACTACATTGCCACTGAAGCACAGATGACACCCATTCTATAGTTGGGCCAAATAACCACATTGCATCTATATAGTCCATAAAGGTAGGCCTAAGTGTCAGCAGCACAGTTATAACTAACGTATAATTGAATAATCAGAAATATCTGCACCCAGCCTAGCTTAGGTTATCCCCCTTTAACAAGCAGTGTTTCTATAGGCAGTGGAGAGTCATGTGACCCTAGGAATGACATCATGCAACATTAATAAGGACTTAAGGGTGCGACAGTGGGTGTCACACGATCTCCCGAGACTTCCTGATGGCACAGCACAGGAGCATGCTAAAGATCATCCCAAACACCTGTAAGAGAGGCAGACAAACATTACTTGTGTTTGCGTCTACACTGCGTTCATCCTCTGGGGGAGCAGATGCTAGAATTTGAAGAGTTGCAGTTAAACCAATTACTCACTTACCATAACAACACCTATGGTGATGCCCACTCCTCCTATGATGTGAAGCTTGGAGTCAAACACCTCATCAATGGCGTCAGGACAGCTCTGCAACACACAGAAGCACGATTCCTTTAAGCTATGCTGAACATGCCTTGTGGTATGGCTCACATAACAGACAGCCTGAGAGCACGCAGGCGCCAGTAAACCATTGTTGCCATAGTAACGCATTGCAAGGAGGCTGAGGAAATTAGTTTAGAAAGGGAAGACTGATAAACTTGTGACACACGTCAGACCATCATTATGTATTCGACATACAGTAATTGTTCTTGCTCTCACAGAGCTGAAGCATGTCTGACATCTGTCTTTTGGATGGCTCCTTGTACTGAAATATGTGTTTTCTTCATCTATCTCATGACTTAAGTGCCTGGCTGTGTTGGCATCCATCTACACACACTTTCAGAGTAGTTGTACCTTCGTAATGAGCACCTCTAGTGGTTCTCCTTTTGGACAGGTGTCTTTGGCAGCATCAATTACAGTACCAGTTGGTCCACAACAGTTCAGCTGTAAACACACACAGTATCATACCTTTAGAGAAGAAGGTGACTTGCAGACAGACAAAATACATATCTCTAACTACAAGTAATTTAAAGGAATAGTTCAACATTTTGTTAATATTTAATTAAAGTGTCCTGAACAGTGAGACAGTGGAGACCAATAGCAATAGCAATACTAGATGATGCATGGATAAAATGTTGTTCATGAATAAAATAGTTACAGCAAATAACTACAATGTCCGCTAGCTATACAGGACATGGTATTACTGTGTCTAGCATTAACTAACTAGACAGGATAAAGGATTACTGTGCTAATTAAAATACATGTGTCATAGGTTAAACCTCACAATACTTAAATTCTTAATTACTCAGTGGTTCTTAGTTAGTACTTAGTTAAACTTTGTAAACAATATAATAAGACCATTATCATAATCAAATTAGGCTTATTTCAGTCAGGAAGAAGACACTCAGACTATAGTTGCTGCACTCTGTCTTTGCGCTACCTGTGTATCAGTTTATGCAAATACAAAGACAGTATTAGCAGTAGTAGGCAGAGTGCAGTATCTGCAGTTTTGTGGTCATAGGTCAAATTGTTTTTAAGCCATGAAAATTACATAGAGAATACATATTTAATAAGCACATAATCACTGTTCTACCTAAATCAGAAAACGTTTGAGAACCAGTGAATTAAACAAGATAAATCATGTTAACTAGTAAGCTGGTAGGTGTGTTTTTGACCTTTGGATCCTCTTTCCAGTGTTAATGCTAAGCTAGGCTAATTGCCCTCAGCTCTATCTCTACACCTACTGCACAGACATGTTATTGATATTCTCATATTACTCTCACAAAGAAAGTCAATAAGCTAATTTCCTAATGTTGAAATTAATTTTGAAGATAATTTTCTGAATCAGCAACTTCTAATCATCATACACATTATGGATAATACTTGTTGCAGAGACTTGGGAGACGACAAAAAGAACTTCCCATGGGAATACACTGCATTTCCTCGAAAAGATCTTTTGTGCCAGATTCCTTTTAGATAAGTTGTGAGTCAGTCGGAATTAGATTAAAGCAGACGTTGCTCACCCCGGTTTGGATCACCCGCAGTGTCTCTTTGAGGCGCTCATCTCCTGTCGTCTCAAAGTTTTTGTAGGTCTGCATGTAGAATGCTGTGATATCATTCACCACCTGCAACACATCAACAAACCGGGGAAAAATATTTTATTTGCATCACTAAAGTGATCAAAAAGTTAAAAGTAACATCTCTTCATGCTATCTTTTAAATCCTTTTTCACAATTATTTCACTCACTTTGTTTTTTGTTGCCATACCTGTCATTTTGTGATTTATTGTAGTTGTTGACTTGTATTTTTCTCTACCTGGTGCTTTTTGCCCTCTTGCTGCTTCTTTGTATTTATGTAAAGTGCTTGTAACTTTGTTGAAAACTGTTATATAAATAATAATAAAATCAATGCAACATACTTTAAACGTGTGTGTTACCTTGCTTTGGTTAGAAAATCCCCAGATTCCTGCTGCAACTTCAATGGCAAATATGATAAGCAGGAAGAAGAAGAACTGCACAAAGGAAAGACAAAATTAAACTGAGTGGCTTTTGTGAATGTGTCTCCATGTGCGCATGTCCTTTGCATGCGTGTGTGAACAAGTAAGGTCATTTGAGTGTAGTTGAACCCAATTTACATAGACTCCTCCTCCTGAGAGATTTAGTACAAGAAGATTAGGGCCAGACAGGGCGGGAGAGAGGGAGGGAGGGAGGCTACAAGTACAGGAAAATCTAGATACTCTTATCTGGCCTTGATACTGTTCAGTAAACAATGATCAAGGCAGACATCTCATATCTCTTAATGAAGGTCAGTGCTACTGAATCAGATCACTACAAAAACCTAAAAGACTCAGACAGTGAGAAAGAAACTTTGTTTTAAGGAGTTTAGATTTGATGTTGTCAAAATAAGTTAATAGAAGAAGGTAGGGTTACATGAAGAATAGAAAAGTGGTACAGACCAGTCCCAGCATACAGGGAGACTCCTGGATGGCCCCACAACATCCCAGAAAACCCACCACCATCATCAGTGCTCCAGCCCCTATCAGGATATATACACCTACACACACATACAGTACAGAAAATCAGATACAAAAAGGCATACTTTGTGTTTTGCAGGGTTCACATAATCCAAAACTTCTCTTAAACTTTGATGATAATGGATAATATTCCTGCTCAAAGACCGAAGCATCTTACCTGTGTAAAACACATACGGAGAGTCTGATCCTTCAAACAGGCCTTTGGTCTTTGGGTCTAATCTTAGCCACAGGCCTATAGCGAAGACAGCAGTGCCTGCAAGCTGAAACAAAAAGAAACATTTTATTTTACCAAATGAAATCACTTATAATAGCACTAAATGTATTAAGCACACTGTACATTGATAGACTGTCAGTCTGGCTGTGCAGTAGTAAGACGAATCATACTAGAGAGTGTAACAGTAAGAAATTAAACTCAATAAAAGTTAATACTTTCCATACACATGCCCTCTCCATATTTATGACTATGATTTCACAACACCAGTTAACAATTCTTTTTACTGTCTGAATTTAAAACTCTTCAGTTAATTTCAAATCTACATTGACTGGCCCCGGCTGGAATCCCTCTCCAGGGTTTATCCTTACAGTTTTTACTGTTCAGTTTTCAAGCCAGGAAGAGGTTTCTGCTGCCCTGACGTCATATCCAAATACTCACCAACAATAGTATCTCATCTCCACATCCACAGGGAGATATTCCTATTCATGAGCATACCCACTGCGTAAAAGTCATCATTTAATGATGTAGCCTCTTTCTATACTCCTTCAGCAACTCCTACTCTTCGACTGATATCAACAGAAAAAACATTGCAATTTATTACCAATATGGTATCACATTTTGAACAAACCCATTTAAAATTACGCTCAGCTTTCCAACTCATTTGTAACTCCTCGCCAATCAAATTTTGATACTACAGTGGTTTTAACACACACTGATGGGGATGTGTATTTGTGTGAATGTATTTCAAAGCACCAACCTAGAAAACAAGACCATAATCAGAGAAGAGAGAGACGAGAGGGTATACTTTGCTTGCATGCATGTTATTATGCATGCACGCTAGTATATTCTGCAACACTAGTCTGTTCTCAATTTGTTCTTTTTACATAGCATGTGAACAGAATAGCTTAAAGTCTGTACTCTGTCATGGATGCATGGTGCCATGTTGTGCAATGGCAGTTACAGGCACTTAGCACTTAAAGGCACAGGTCAGTCAATTTTTAACTTAGAGAGCTGAAATGCAACCGGAAGATGGCTGTTCTATTCAATGTGTGTGTGTGTTTCTGTGTGTGTGTGTGTGTGTGTGTGTGTGTTTCTGTGTATACACTCTGCTGTTCTTTTGACCATTTTCACTGGCTATACTTTCTGTAATATCATCTTTTTTTAATGTTCCATTTTATGAACAAAATGGCAGATACTAGGTAGCTTCTCCACCCTTCTCTCTCTCTCTCTCTCTCTCATTCGTACACAACTCAATTAGACACAATAAAAAGTAAAGTACACCTACCCAGAAGAAAAAGTTGAAGATAAACATAAGATATTTCACACACTTGATTCCCCCAGCGACAGCCATGCTGATATTGTCCACACAATGTACCACTACGAGTGTTTAATAGCTAACTTCTTTCAAGAGGCAGCAGAGCATACAGCAACGGTGTCAGTTAAAAAAGGTTGTTGAAAGGGAAAGCGTATTTTATACCACACCTTCATACAATCACCTGATCATAGTTAGGGAGGGGCAAGGCAGGTAAAAAAAACTGTCCTTTATTGTGTGTGTGTGTGTGTGATATGGATTCCTGCCTGTGTTACTTCCCCTCTTTAACTTCTGCATGTGTGCAGGTTGTGCAAGCATACAGGCTTTTGTGATGTGGGAGAGGGATCTGTTGAGGCATGTTGACATAAAACCTTTTCTATAATACCTGCCTAGCAGCATATTTATCGCTATGATGTTTCTGAACAGTGTGCGCATGTCTACAGTTAGTAGACAGCTGTCATATATGACTACCTCCCAGTCCTATTCCCAGAAGCTGAAAGCGAGGTTTGTAAACCCTGTTTGTGCTGCACATGGACTATCAGCTGTAATCAGATATGTGTGTCATGTGATTCTTGGATGCATGAACAAGGTTATGACCAGAGTGTGTCACATCTTCAGTTCCTGTTTAAGCCACCAAACACCTACACTTGTATGTGGGTGTGAGGTTTGAACATGCGCCTGATCCTGTCTTTGTGAAATTCAGTTGATTGACTCGTTATAACCTTTATTATGATCCGCTACACTCATTTTTATTAACTCCCATACGCTATCATAAACAGAACCATACATTATAGCATTAAGTTAATGCACCTCGTGTTTTCTGTAAATCTTTCTTACTCTTTGTCTCTAGTCTTTATTTTTTTTATATTTTCTTAAAGTATTCTCTTGTGCTGTGACTTTGTATACGTTTTATGCAACAATCGCACCAAAAGAAAATTTCCTCCGTACTACCACCTTGGCAATAAACCTTCATTCGGATTCTGATTCTGATTCTGAAATTACTTAATGATCAACTTATTCGGATTTTTCTAATTACACTACCATTACCCATTGTGGTAAAACATATATAATACGACCTACTGAAAAATACTCAGCTTTTGAGCCTCTTTGATAAGGACATTTGTAACTCACCAACTCAGATCTCCATCACTACCACGTGGTTTTCAACAAAGACTTGATGGGGGCTTTGTGTAAGATGTGTGCAAGTTGTGTGTCTATATGTGAACATTCTCTGGCTTTTTTTATGTTTAACCACATCCCGACACCTGCCAAACGGCCGCTGTGCTGACTTTTCAATCTTTTGAACACCCCACAATTGTTGTTTTCCTCTCAATTTCCACAACACACACACACACAACACCATAACACACAAACACACAGTGGAAAGAACCTGTTCTATTGTAAATCGAATGGTTCTTTGCTGGCTTATCATACTAGCCGTGCACAAATTATAAAACTTCCACTATAGAGGGCAAAACATCTGACAAACACACCACACACACACACAGAGAGAGAAGAGAGACACGACGACAGAGAGCAGGAGAGAACAACATGGACCAAAAGGACCACACCTGCGGTGGTGGACACAATATCTATATGGGTATCCAGGATTCATTCACACACACACACCACACACACACACCAACCACACACACACAGTCTGCCTCACTGACATGCGCAACTCCTCACATCACGTAACGTAGCAGAAGTCTTGATTATTATTATATCAGCCACATTCTCCGCCACATTAAAGCGCACCCCCTCTCCCCACCCCGATTGCAATTATTAAAATGCCGTGCGCGCAAACTCCAGAATGTAGTCTGTGCTGTGGAACTGGGTCACTTGGCCACTGGGGATTATTCTTCCTGCCCGCTCGGTCTCCACACGCGTTGGGATACTTTGTGTTTAGTGGTAGCCAGTGCCACCTCTGAATATACACTGTGATAAAGTAGCCGAGGCTGTCAGTGAGCACTCGGCACGAATCTGCATCTGGGACATCGTATAATTTCATTCACTATATAGTAACCTGCTCACACACACACACACA